CCCTTCTCCCGCACACACTTGTGAAGCTTTTCAGGGTTATCCTTCAGCATCAGTGGCACCGGCGGGCGGGCCCGGGGGAGCAGCGACACCGGAACGTGCTCGGCAAACTGCAAGAGAGATCAGAGGGAGCGGAGCTGCCGGCCCCCGCCCGCACCCGCGGGGGGCTGCGCTTCCCGGCTGCGATATTATAGATATATATAGATAAAAATTTATTTTATTTTATTTTTTACGTTTTCCCTGCTCCTCTCGCTTTCCCGAGGCAGGACGGGGTTTGTAGCCTTGCGGGCGGGCGTGCTGCCGCCCCCCCCTGCCCCGGGCGGGCGAAGTTGGGGGCGAGCGGGAGGGAGAGATGCCTCTGATGAGAGGGAAAGTCGCGCTCATCCTCGGCTTCGTCCTTCTGACAACTTTCCTGGCCGCGGTGCGAGGGCTGCCCGTGAGGAAACAGCACAGCAGCAGCCCCAAGGAGAGGAGCTCCAAGCTGGCGGAGGTAAGGCAGCCTTTGGGGAAGGATGGGGAGCCGGGAGGGTGCCGGGGCGAGCCCTCCTCAGCCTCCGCACCCCTCTGCGGTGCCCGGGAAGGCTGAGGGGGGGCAGGCGGCCACCTGGGCGGTCAGCGGGGCTCCCTCGGAGGCGGCTGTGAGCATCCCAAGGGAGCGGCATCCAACACGTGTCCCCGCGGCCAGGCCGCCCGGAGCCCCGGGAGGAGAAGCAGCAGCGGGGAGAAGCAGGGGCTGGTGCCTCCCCTCGGCTGGGCTGTTTCCGCGCTGGCTGAGGGGCAGAGCTCTTCTCCGGGATTTTTGGGTGGCCTCAGGTCTTTGCATCGCGCGGAGGCTGCGGGAAAGGGGCTGGTTTAGGTGCTTTGAGATGGGGGCCGAGCGCCGTGATCTTTCCCAGCTCCCGGGAAGATCCGTTGCCTCCAGGGGGCGACATCCCTCGCAGGAGCCAGGGCTCCGGCCGCGACCCGACCTGCAGTAAAATTAGCGAGGTGGATGGCTTGCCAGGAACTCCAAAACTCCGCCGCTACAAAAATAAGACGTGATGGATTTCAGCCACCAGCTCTCCTTCCCGGTGGGACGACCCTGGGGCAGATTCCGGAGTGGTCAGGCTCCCTTCTCACCCCCCCGGCGAGCTCCCCGCGCCCCGGCAGCATCTCCCGGGCGGGCGGCCCCGGGACCCCCAGCGAGCTCGGGAGGGGAGATCCCGGGGCTGCTCCTTGCTCTCTTCTGAGAGCCCGGTCCTGGCTTCGGAGCGCGGATGGTGGAAGGGGAAACTTCAGCAGGCAGCGAGGGGACTGGTCAAACTGGGAGCCAGCTGTTGGGACCTGATGGGGATGACAGGAAGGGAACGGGTTAAAAAAAAAACCAAACTACTGTGAGGGTTGGGTTTGATTAAGACAGATGGACAGACAACTAAACGGCTAAAACAAGTTGTTTCCATCTTGAAACTCTTCTCTGGAGAAAGAGTGGTTCAGGCAGCAGAGCCGTGTTTAAAAAAAAGACTCTTTTGAAGAATGCTACTGCTAAAAGTGAGTGAAAAGAATAAATGGGAATAGTGGTAGGAGGAGGTTGAGCAGGACGGGGTGAGAGCAGCTCAGCCCTTCTGGTGATGCCCAGCAGCAGGTTTGATCCGCAGAGCCAGCCAGGCTGGCAGAGGAGGTGCCGAGTGATGGGACTGTACCTTTCTGCTGGTTATTGCCAAAACGCAGCGCTGGTCTGTGGAGGAGTCAGGCTGGCAGCTCCTCTCGGATGCAGTAAACCCTGTTCCAGCATGAAATCCAGAGGACAAGTGTGAAGGAGGAATCCACCACATGGAAAGCCTGAGCAATGGGCAGGAGAGGGCACGGGCTGTGTCTGCCCGAGTACCACCAGTTGAGCCTGGTAATGGTTTAACCTGTTTAACAGGGCTGCTGGGGATGTAATGTGCTGTCACACTGGTAGTACCATGTTGGTGCTGTACTTTGCCAGTGAAACTTCAAGCACAGACGTAGATGCCGGTTCACTCACCAAACAAATGCCAAGGGGAGTGTGCCCGGGCTCCAGCTGGCAGAGGGAGTAGGGATTTACCCTTGAAATCCATTAAAGTATTGCAGCCCCGTGGCAGGGGGCATAAGGTGGGGCGTGTTAGGAAGCTGTGCGGGTTCCCCCCGCAGGACCCTGCAGCGCAATCTCAGGCTCCTTTTTATCTGAGGTCTAAAACACACGGGGAAGCGGGGCGAGGCGCTGGCAGTCCCAGTTTGTGAATGGCTGTGAATGGGGAGCATTGTGTGGGCAGCCAAAGATCACACACGGCACTTACACAGCGCAGCCTCTGTCCCCCGGACCTTTGCTTCTCCCAGAAATACAAACATACAAGACGTTTGTAGGCAAAGGTTTGAGGCTGGAGGTGAGGAGCAAGGAGGGAGATGAAGAGCGGATCCCTCTGGGGGTCTGTGGGTGCTCCCGTGCACACCCCACCTCCCTCGGGGCACCGGCTGCACAGTTTGCATGGCAAGGAGAAAGCCAGAGGTATTGGCATGTGTCTTTTAGCTGCCTTTTGGGGATGAAATCCTCTGTTCCTGGTGCATACGGGGTGGAGTTTGGAGTAGTCGTGCCCGGCTGTTTGAACTAAAGCGGAGAGCCCGAGCACAGCAGTATGGTGGTTAAAAAAAAAAAAAAAAAGAGAAAGAAAATGCAGAGTGATTTTGGGTCACACGCACAGATGGTTCCTGTTGCAGCGCTGATAGGTCCTGTCTCTATGGCAGCAGGGCAGCCACAGCTGGAGTATTGGTTACACTATGGGTAATGCCCTACAGATGTGGGTAGAATGAAGGGGGCCAGCAGGAGAAAAATAGAAATGACGGAGCAGAGCAGATAGGCAATCGAAACCGTTAGGCAGTTTTGTGACTTGGACTTATTTTAATTTAATATCTTTATTTAAAACCAGCATTTGTCCTCTGTTTAGAATTGAATGGGAATTTTTATCATCTATGCTGAGCTTCAGAGTTGCACTTCTATAACAAAATAATTTAGAAAAAATAAAACCATTAAGGTTTTCAGTAAATTTTTGAGTTAGAAATTCTTCTAATTGCAGGAAAGATGGCAGGAACACGTGATTTATCTTTGGGCAATAGCCTAATCTATATATCCCAAAGTCCTGTACTTCAGTCAGCATCTGTTACTTCCAGCCATTACCAAAGGAACAAGCACTTGCATTTACATTTTCTGAACAGTGATACTGTGCAGAAAAGCTTTTCCTGAGTTTCAGTGAGCCCAACATAAGTAACAGATGTGGTGAGAATATTTTCTCTTTCTTCAGTCTATTTGGCTGGAAGTTGAATGGGCAGAATACTGTCTTTCCAAACTGTGACTTAAATCTTATGAGAGAAGCTACTTGCTCATTTGGAGGCTTTTTGGTGATGTTTGGGAAGGCAGATGGGCTCTGAAGCAGCAGGCAGGTGTACAGCAGGGTTTCTAGAAGCGCTTTTGCAGGTTGGATGCATCACACTGACATGGGCAGAAATGGGGCAATTCCAAGCGCTGACCCGCACCAGCGGCTCTTCAAATTTGGGTAACTGATTACTTGGAAAAGCTTGAGTCCCTTGTGGAGACAAGGGACAGCTCATCATATTGCTTAATGCTTTGTTTATTTATGAAGTCAGGGGGTTTAAATGCAAAATATGTTTTGATAAACTCACTGGATTTCAAAATACTGGCTTTGAGCATGGTTAATAGATGTCTGGATTCTTTCCGACCGATACCAATCGCTTCCAGTGCTCTCCTAGTAAACAGAAGATAGCTAATGTTCTAGCATGCTAGAAATGTAAATGTTAGAAGTGATTAGATCTGTGCGAACTGACACAGCCGCTTCAATAACTGTGCATGGAAATCATAGTGCTGGCAGTAACGGTGATGGGGGTGTTGGTGGTGAGTGTCCCAGTGGGGACGGGGCGCAGCAGAGAGAGCCAGTGGTGTTTTATGGAGTGTCCAAGCCACCCAACCCAGCTCCAGTGGGATTGGTGGGTGCTTCTTCGCAGGAGGGAACTGTTCTGAAAGAGGGGGCTGAGAGCCACAGCAGTGAGCTCCCCGAGGCACCCGGGGGTGTTGCTGTGAGGCTGGGACAGGGGCAGGGTGAGAATCCAGGCTGGAGCTTGCTGTTGGAGTTCCCCTGGGTCTGAGGCTGCAAACAAAGCAAACCTGACACCTGTGATAAGAGATAACAGAGGGCAATAAAAGAAATGCCAAGTGTAGCATAAGGGCTGTAGCTGGCTGCAAATCAGTGGGTTTGTACAGCACCTGGTGTGACTGGCTCCTGGCCCCCTGAGAAATAAGGAAACCAATAACAACAGTGCATATTGTGTACTGGTTGTACCAGGTGGCGAGAATAGCAATGGGAAACTATGCTTAAAACAAGATCTACAGCAAGGTGTTTTGCTTGCTGATGAAAAATCACTGGTAGCAGGCTTGATTTCAATCAACCTGCCCTGTGCATAAGGAGTCTGGGCGCAGAGGAGTGGTTAAGAATTAAGCGTAGAGCAGTGCCATGGTGCCTGGCTGGAGATACCAGCCAGCGGGGGGTAAAGGAGCTCCAAGGAGATGTGGTGGGGCTGTACTAGGTAAAAAACATTAAAGGGAAATATCAGGTGGGCTTGAGTGGAGTGTGTCAGGAGACTGTATGTCAATTGGGAGCCCTAGGGTAGCCCAGACACACTGCCTGGGGTACCCCTGGGGTGCTGGGCTGGCAGAGCCGGCTCTCCCATGTGCCCCCCCAGCACTTGCTCCCTCTTGACTCCCTTAGGGCTGTCTGGCCGAGTAGACAATCTTGCTTTCCCTAGAGCCACCTCGCCCTGCTGTGCCTCCAGCTTGTGTTGTCACCCGTGTCTGCCCTGCGTGGGGGCTCCCCACCACCCTGCTGCCCCGTTGGGAGGGCTCAGCTGGGGTGCGAGTGGGCAGCCGGGTCGGTGCTGGCTGCCTGCACAGCCAGATCCCCGCGGCCACTGCAGGCTGTGTCAGTAGCAGAGTCATTTTGCCTGCGGATGTGCTTTTTACCTTTTCATTTCTTCAGCAATTAAGCGTTCTTGTCCCTGGCTTTGTCCTTGGCGGAGGTCGGATTTGTGGGTACAAAACGTGCACTGAAGCATCCTTCCGCTCTGAAAGGGGCTCTTTGTGCGCAGGGAGGTACTTCGCCCTTTGTAGCAAATTTCCTTTTGAGAAGTGCCAAATTATCTTAGTCAACACAGTTGAAAACCCTCCCGCCCTGGGGCTGAGGCAGGAGCAGAAACAAAGGGGAGCCGGGTGTAGGGAAGCTGCCCAACAAGGGGGCTTCTTCCCTTTTCACTGCACAAATAGGTCTGCTGCGTTCCCATTGTCACAATCAAAGGGGTTCCTGTAAAAGGCACATGTAAGGGGAAAAGATTAGGCAGAAATCGCTCCACAGGGCATTGCCCAGCCCTCACTCTGGGTTCCCAAAATTGTCCGGCTCTTACAGACCTTCTCCTTAAAGACTGTTAGGC